AAAGTGAGAAATACAAAAAATCAAACGCAAATTTTTCTTGTTGCTTTGTTCTCGAGTTGATACAAAATTCGATATTTTCGGTCGTCGACTGTCTTTTTTGCATCAGATTAAAACTACGTGTACAGCTAGCTAGCCATGTCACAGTCTCAGAGAAAAGTACAGAAAAGATGACTCAATTTACGAGTTGAGCACTCATGCCTCTGATTTCATTTGCAAGTACCACTGCGAAGTTATGGCGGCTTTTTCTTCCCCCCTGATGTGAGGTTATGGATCGTAGATGAATGCTGGAATGGTATGGGGAGGTGAAGGATATATGCCGAACAACGAAGCAGTTGAATAGAGCTTGGTAGGGTGACACGAAGAGGGTATGAATAGACCTTCAGAGATATTCAGTAAATGTAATGAACTGAGGATTTCTGAAGGAGAAGAATGTTGTAATGGAAGTTGTACAGAGAAGCGTAAGCTGTTAGGCTTGTATTTAATATCACCTAGTGAAGCGAGTTGGGGGATTGAAGAGACTAAAAACTATAGTGTAGAGTTGTTGGTTAAACCCACTTACTATCAGAGCGCTATATAAACTAATTACTACATCTAAGTAAAGGACACGATTCACTCGTTTATGCTAAATAATTGGGAGGCTGGAGGGCAAGACTGAACACCGGTACGCCGTGTCCTCTACGAACCTGAGAGTGAAATATTCTCCCAGAGCCAAGTTCAGTCAAATTTCGCAATATCAAAGAAGTTGGCCCACGAGGCAAAAATTCAAATTACTCCACCATGTCAATCTTTCACTCCCAAAGAGTCCGATTCTCAACTAAGCTTCATCAAGTCTACAAGTACGACCTTGTACATCCTCGTTTCAATGACCACACCTCTCGTCGACTTTCTCCGGCCTCAGCCGGTCACCAAATACACGCCCACGCCGATATTTATATCCGCAGGAGGAAGCAAAGCGTGGCGCACAAATCTGGGAGACAGTTCTTTGGGATGGACGTGAGAGGGATCAGGACAAGTTTACAAGATGATGCAGAAGAGGGATACGTTTTCGACGGGCGTGAAATTTCGAATTTTGGCAGGAGTTTTACGAATTGAGCTTTGTGCGCGCCTAGACTTCGCTTGCGAGAGTGCAGCTGACACTATAAAAACAAGCCGACGATGGAAGGTGTTGTGGTCCGCCTCCTGGTGATGTTCTCTGGTATAGTCTGAGTAGCCTGGGCACCTACTCCACTTGGGAAGGAGAAATCTCAGATTAAATTTCGCGCGGAGAAAAGTTGAAAGATGACGGAGGCATGTCTGGATAACTCATGGTTTTTGAGACGTTCCCCTGGGTGGGTATTCACGGATGAGGGTTGACTTGGGGTGAAGAAAAAGCCGCCATAACTTCGCAGTGATACCTGCAAATGAAATCTGAGGCATTAGTGCTCTTTCTTTACGATGAATCATCTATTCTGTACTTTTCTTTGATATTGTGCCATAGCTAGATAGCTGCATACGCAATTAAGATCTGATGCAAAAAAAAAAAAATTAAATGATACGAATAACGGAAACGAAAACAAGATAGTACGTGACTAGTGTAACAGATGCAGGACTGTTAAAATTACAACACCCCCAAGTCAGCCCTTGACTATCGAACTTGCATCCTGTGTAATCCATGATGCTGAGGCGGCCATGAGAAGTGGTAAGTGTGTGGCTATGGTCACACTCGACATTCAAGGTGCATTTAATGTAGTCCTTCACAACCGACTGCTCAAACGCCTTCGAGAACAAGGCTGGCCACGATCCCTGTGCCGGTTTATTCAGACATTTCTTTGCCAACGAAAGGTTCAGGTCAAATACCGCGGTGGAATCACAGAAGAGAAGATACTGGAATGTGGAGTACCTCAGGGCTCGCCACTATCGCCACTATCGCCACTTTATTTCATGCTCTACATTGCTGAGTTTTTTGAGGATCATGGTTTAACGAGCAGGTTTGGTTATGCAGACGATGTAGCTATTGTCAGAATTGGAAACACCGCGGCGGATGCTATCTCCGCAGCTCAAGACGACCTCGACAGCCTTATCCTTCTCGCAAGAGAACACAGGATCGATTTTGACCCAGCAAATTCAGAATTTCTAGTGACCGGAGGAGGGCCTAGAAAGAAAATCAACGCGGCTAATCTTTCCATCTTGGTGAAAGATCGCCGGATCGAACCGTCACCTCATATCCGGTGGCTAGGAATCTGGCTTGATACCCAGCTAAACTTCAAGCAACATGTACAGGAATGGACTGGAAAAGCTAATCGTCTAGTCCATTTCTTACGACATATAAACGGAGTTCAACGTGGTGCAGCACCCGGACCTTTGATTCGTGCGGTAAATGCATGTGTTTTGAGCACAGCTCTATACGAGGCAGAAGCGTGGTGGCCAGGTATCACTCGAATAACCACACTGCGAGATAAAGAAGTCGGCACTAGAGTAGGCTGGCATACATCTCTACTGGGAAAAACGATAATGAAAGCTATCAGAGTAGCACTCCCAGCGTGGCGTACCACTCCCAATGGCGCTCTTCATCGTGAAGCGGGAATACCCCCGGCATCGATAATTCTTCAGCAAAAGATGCTGCGGTCTGCAGCTCGTATGCGAAGAATGGATGCCTGGCACCCTCTAGCCATTCGGGCGGCTGAGGATCCGAAAGAGACAATAAGACGCTTAGGTCTTAGATCAGGACAAAGAAATCGTTTGTTCAGACAACTAGAACGGTGCATGACACGCCTACAAATGAGTGTGCGTCGAGTTCCGACAGCCGAAGGTCCTGGAAAGCTACACTTCCCACGTGGCACTCCAGCATCGATTCCATGTAGTCGAGAAAAAGAAGCTAAGTCTGGAAGCATAAGGCGATGGTTAGTTTCCCATCCAGCTAACAAAGTCTGCGCTTTCTCTGATGGATCAACATCGGGTCCCGGAAAACCAGCCTAGGGGTATGTAGTATACCAAGGAGGCAAGTTAGTTAGAAGTGGTTCCGGTCCACTTCTCGGAGCAGACGTATTCGACGCAGAAGTTGTAGGCGCCATGAAAGCCTTGAAGGCTGCAATAGAGGTAGGAGAAGACTTACTGATCTGCATTCTTCTGGACAACCAAACGGCCACCCAGGCGCTCGAAAGAGGAAGATCTAACTCCTCGCAGTCAGTGGTGGACAAGTTTTCGTCGCTGAGACACAATAGGCGTGTGGAAATACGCTGGATACCCGGGCACGTGGGGATTCAAGGCAATGAAGAGGCCGATAAGCTGGCCAAATCAGCCTTGGGAGCTCCCAATAACCAGACACTATCCTCAGCTGCGCCCAGTGGAGAAGATCAAGATCTAACCTTTGCGGCATTAGGGAGGTGGGTTAAACTGCGCAGCCAAGAGCTCGTGGAAGAGTGGTGGCAGAAGTATCGACCGAAACGATACAAATATCTGGACCTATTCATGCGTTGCAAAAGACCACCGGAACTAGCTTTACCAAGATGGGCGTATCATCGTCTTATTGCGGCATGAACAGGCCACGGGGACTACGCCGACTACCATCGACGTTTCAAGCCCGAACATGAGGATCTGAAATGCGTTTACGGCCTAGAGAAAAGGCCCTGGCATTTTTCATAGTGCTGACCTGCTTTGCAATGTTGGAAAAGCTGTGAGAAAATGGCCCCACCTAGGGCCGGGAAATGATAGGGGAGAAGGGATGGCAGAAGTTCATTCAATTCTTAACTACATGCAGATGTTACAATCTGCCGAAGAATGAACAGGGTGGGAGATGACCACTATGAGACAGCTTCCAACTCGAGAGGAGATGTGCTCCGAGGATAGGGATGCGGCGCAGGGCACCGTAACTCAGACAAATACCGTTCATTTTTTTTCTTTTCTTTTGTCGCTTCTGGCCCCACTGCCGATCATGCAGGTAGCAATGAGCTTTCAGAGCCCATCTACCCGTGTCAAGTCTTAATAGATGTTAGGTTCTTCCTGTCACGTAAAAGATTTCAATTCAAATTCAAATTCAGCCCTTGACTATGAATATTCACCTAGAGTAAAGTCTCAACACCACTGAGTCATCCATTTATATCTGCGCGAAATCTGGTCTGTGGCGTCTGCTTCCCAAGTGGAGTAGGTGCTGAGGCTACTCAAACAATACTGGAAAACACCACGAGGAGGTGAAACAAGGTGCCTTCCATCGTTTGCTTGTGTATATAGTGCCAGCTTTACTCTCGCAATCGAAAGCTTGGTGCGCACAAAGTTCAATTTGTAAAGCTCCTTGCTAAAGCTCAAAATTTCACGCCCGTCTAGGTTGTATCCATCCTCTATGTCATCTTGTAAACTTGTCCTAATCCTTTTCGTGTCTATCCCAAAGAACTGTCTCCCATATTTGTGCGCCACGCTTTGTTTCCTCCGTCGGGTGTAAATATCGACGTGGGCGTAAAGATGGTGGTCCACTGAGGCCAGAGAATAGTCGACGAGAGGTGTGGCCATGGGAGTAAGGATGTATTAAGTCGTACCTGTAAACTTGAAGAGGTTTTGGTAGAGATCGATCTCGTTGGGCGAGAGAAATTGGCTGGGTGGTGAGTTTTTCATCATTGCCTTGTAGGCCAACTTGTTCGGTGTCGCAAAATCTCACTCAACTTGGCCATGAAAGAATATTTCACACCCAGCTTCGAAGAGGGCACCGCTAGCAACTCATTTGTCTTTGACGTCCTAGTTTAGAGATAGTCCTGACGCAAATTTCCATCCATCATCTTGTCAGTTGGTGGACCGCTAGATCATCTCTGACCGTGCATCCGATCAGCCTTGTGTGATCAATTGTTATCCATTTGCAAGCACAACCAAGACAATTCACCCTGTCATGAGAAATTATCTCACTCCAACAGTAACGTTTTCGTAAAATCTCAAGGTTGCGACGTAACAGAGCTTTTTTCCGGAATATAGAGGAATCTACGCATTTCTTCAATTAAGACAACTTAAATCACAAGCTCGCAAAAAATACTTTGAATATGAGACCAAGCCCAAGACACCTTGTAAAAGGCTTCGTCGGTAGGAGTGTAGATGAGTTTAAACGGCTTTCAACTAGCAGTATGTTCTTTGAGCCCAAAAATTTTCTTGTTACAGTCAATCTGACCATATTACCAGTACTAAAAGCTGAGGGTCTGCGTGAGCCTACGAAGCCTTACGTTTTAGCCTCATTCCGAGACCCCAAGTCTGTACAAGATTGCAAGGCAATGTCTGATAAAGATATCGGTGGGTTCTCCACAGTAAGCCTAGACTGGGTACCACCCAGCAAAAACCAGACGCCAAATGCCACCGGAAGCAGTCATGGTCACGCCAAATTTCATGGTAACATCTCTATAGAGCTTCCAACAAATAGGCCAGAAGTTCACCGAACCGGATATGCGGCATGGAGAACAAAAGATAAAGGATATACAATCTTTGGTAAAACACTATGGGATATAGACCCTTATGAATTTTTAGCTCTCAGGATTAAAAGTGACGGTCGAAAGTATTTCATAAATTTGCAAACTGAGAGCATCGTCCCTACTGACATACACCAACATCGACTCTATGCTAAAAGACCAGGAGAGTGGGAGACATTGTTTGTTCCATGGACCGAGTTTGTGCGGACTAATCACGGTGTTGTGGTCGAACCCCAGAGAGAAATGCTCCGACAATCTTTAAGAACAATTGGAATCGGACTTACTGATAGGGTACCCGGAAATTTTGAGCTGTGTATCGAAAGAATGTGGGCCACAAACGAGATGAAAAATGATGATTCAAGCTTTGAATAAATGACGACGAAGCTAGATCTTATTAAGATACTGTTCAAAGATATCCATAGTAAAAATTATCACGAAATGAGCGCTCGGAGTTTCTAGTGAGAAATTGCGTATTCAGGGCCTAATTAAAGCGAGCGATGAATAAGCTTAATTGCCAACCTATCCACGGCTTACGAAGTTTCACGCAACTATTTTTGGTTGCTTGTTTTGTCTATTCATGAAGAAAGTCTTTTGCGGATATCTGTCCAAGGCACACATATATACTAGTGGTATTAGAAACCTCGAGTATTATACCACGTAGGGGCTTCATGCAAGCTTACACTTCCATTAAAGTGTATTTCATCAAAATAAATATGGTCAACCAAGAAGGTAGACCCTACATGGACACCGATCGCCATCTATTACTCTTCCGACGATTCTTCACTTATTTCGGCCGTAAGAAAGAAATATTAATCTCTCTGGAAAATACTGAAGAAAGTTTTCAATGTACTGTTAAACGATGCGATAAATAGGCAATTTGTTCATGCCTTTTGATACTACAGCAAGTTTATCTTTATTTTTTGGAGCTTGAGAATAAAGTTGCATCATTCTCGATAGATACCCAGCTAAATGTTCGATTATCTTATTCAAATTTTCACTCTTACATTTTCTTTTTCTTCCATACTTTTTAAATATATGGATTTCACCAAGAACTGCGCGGCAGCCCAGACAGCCATAATCCACAATTTGACATTCTTGATCTCATATCTCAAAATAAATCATGTTTTTCACACCTTGAAACTATCATGTATAAATAAAACTGTCATAGCATCAGTCTAGGATAAAAAGAGCGATGGAGACTAATTTAGATAAGCTAGCGTGGTAAACAATTTGAAGGCTTTAGACTAAAGCTAGAACTAGCGGATAAATAATTAGAGATCCTGGCGACCCTATTAAGGAAAACAAGACTTATTTTTTGGGCGAATTCGAGCAAGATACCGTTAAAATGTAGACATACCAGACCGAACTGCATGCAGTGCGGAGTAGACGAAGACTACTCATCTTCGATCGCTACCAGCTTTGGTGAGGTCTCGGTGGTGGGAATATTATTCTTTTAGGTAATAAAAACACAGTGTTTCTACCCAAGCGAGGTAGAACATAGATTATTAAATGTAGATTTAAAACATCAGTGATCCTAACTATTTATCTCTTATCCTGAAACCCCCAATATCTTATGATTCATACAGCATCGACTTGACGGTCAACGTTTACTTCTATAATTCCAGATACCTCCAAGAACTTTAATAGATACAGCCGCGATAGAGGAGATCAATGTAGTGATTGTGTCTTTTAGCCACCTTGAAAAGATTTGTGCAGAAAAATCGTAGAGGAGGTCTCTTATTGAAGAGAAAATATGGCACTGTGGTTGATCGTCTTGAATAGTCCTATAAGCCCCGCTCGAAATAGGAGGCCGGCAATAGCATCGTTGATTGCACTCAAAATGGAGATTTTCGTCTATTTTCGCATTATCTTTGGCTAGAAGAGTTGTCAGAATTAGGAGCAAGGGTATCAAAAATTTATATCCACAAGATATGATACACGACGGATGATTTAAATTAAAGGATTATACGCGATATACTACATGTGGATAAATGATGTTGAGGTACTCATTCAGCCAGTGACTCAGAGATGTGGCAGATAATTTTGCAAACCAGCAGAAATTAGTTTCAAGACAAGACTTTTCCGTTGATACTTAAGAAGTGTCAGTGCGAAAAAATATTGAAGGGGAAATGAAAAACATTATCAGTCGGGGGACCAGGTAGGTTTTCAAGACTACTGGGACTATGTTACGGCGTGAGCTAAGGATACTGGAGATCACCATCTGCCCAAGGTAATGTATTGATAACTTTTGGGATCATAGCTGCTAAGGAAGGATACTCAGATATAATTCAACAGATGAGGTGCCAGGTGGTCAAGGGCCGGAGAACTGCAGGATAGTCGAGACTCGAAGTTGAGTTTCGGGCAAACGAACAAGTCTGGTAACTGAGGGTCAAAGAGGTACGAAGAATGCAACGAATAGTGAGAGAATGAGTGTATAGGACGGTGAGAAGATAAGATTAAAATATTATTTAAATGTTAGATTGCGAGATTAAAGATCAAAGGAACAAAAGATGAAGATGCTGGAGAGCTACTTTGTGGCAGGTCCAGCATCCTTGAGTCTAACTCGAGACAGAACTAGAACTCAACCAAGGCTATAGTAGATGTAGTCATGACGCCAGGCCTCCTCAGATGGATAGAATAAATAGCCACACCGGAGCATCAACTGTAGTCAGCTCTCTATCCGAATTCATTCAAGCGAAAAGTGACATGTTTTACGCAGCGCAATTGAAGCCGCCAAAGGTTCAGCCAGGCAAAGCGTCGACGATGGTGTGTGGGAGCAAACTGGCGCCGTTCAAAGGGTCTTGGATTCTCCCGTTGACCACAAAATGCGCGAGGAAACGGCCTTCACTCTGAAAGGGCGATTAGGATCACTGACAGTGATAGAGAGCAGCATTTCCGATCTATCGGCCTTACAACTGGGCTTGGCTTTCCGTCACTTCACCTGCCTAGCTGCATACCGACGCAGGAGCGAATAGAGTTGGTGTAGATAGTTGCAAAGGTCTGATGAATGCAGATGTACTTGAAAGACACTATGTTAGACTCTACGAGTCAATTGAATCATGTTAAAAGTGACAAGTAATGTCAGGCTGTCCTTTGTCTTTCGGTTACTTTCTAGATTGTGTATGTTCAGAAAATGGCAATTTTCCAACTGTCCCCATGAACCAAGTTTCTCATGGCTCAGAACACAAAATCTCTGGTCAGAAGATTTAGAGTTCTTATTGCTGTAGCCCAAGCGAAACACCTCTGTCCGAAACAAGTAGCTCCAAGCTTTGTGAAGCCAACACCCAAACTCTACATCTAACAATTGTCGCTTCCAAACAATCCATGGTTTGATGCAATAACTCGATAGGAATTAATAACTTCTCCTTGGGGGGCACAATCTACCACGAAGTCTCCCATCCCTTACATCCTCTGCGTAGGCTAGTCTCAACTCCCCATCTTGGCCACTTGGGAGTCATCCTTTCTCCCGTACCGTACTCTCCATCACGCACGCACCCCCCTTGATATCTCCTTCTGCGCCCATTTGCATTTCCAGGAGCGCTGCTCTGCCACAACCTGAACTCTACGACGGAGTGGTCCTAGTGACCAGTCATGATCCGATGCAGACGTCTACTGCTGTAATTCCTACCGAGAAAACAGACTGGTGGAACCCTTCAATCCTACCTATCTTGCCTCTCTCAAAGTTCTAGCCGTCTTTTCTAGGAGTCCGCTGGCACTGTGTCGTGAATTCAGGGTTATCCGGAGTAGAAACGTGCGAGTCTGGCCATGCAGACAGATTACATTTGGCGTAGGAATAGAAAAGCGCTGAGATGTAGCGTGCCGGTGCTGCTTCAATAAATACAACTGTGGATTTATTGCCAAGTGTATACTCATCCAGCTAGTCCTGATCATATCACACTGACAACACTGTCCGGATCGCCGCAATCACACTCTCTAGCCCACCCGCCGGCGACCTGCACAGAAGGACGCCCCAGCGCTGAGAAGAAGTCCCGGCTATTTCTTTCACTGTAGTGTAGGAAGAGGCCGCGTCGGTCTTTGTGGAAGACGTGGTCAAAACAGAATTTCTCGGCTCGCCCATGTATCAAAGGAATCTCGAGTTACTCCTGATCACGTTAATTCGCCAACTAATCACAACACAAACAAGCATTTTCAAATGAATTCCGGCAATTTCGGTTGGAAATCTCGCAAAGTGAAATGGGCGCAATAATTGTGGGACGAAGGAAGTTGACGAGAAGAGAGTGGGAAGTGTAAGCAACACAGAGCCTAAGCCACAGCATAAATGAGTGTGGCGCCATCTAGGCTCAGAAAACCCCCAGTAACTTCCTTGTGCCCACGCCATACAGCCGCTCACATTTCAAAAAGGTGTCAGGATCGTTGGCTTAGCTCGGAGGACACGGATCGATACGGGATTTGATCGGAATGGGACGAAGGCAGAACAAGACGGAACGGAACGGGACGGAGTCGGGGTATAAGGTAAAGCTTATAATAACTGGATCAATCTAGAGTCTAGAATAATTACAAGACAAAATCCTACAGAACAAATCCAGTCCTAGACCTTCCTCAAGTACTCAAGAGCGGTTACTACAATCAGGGGTATGGTAGTCTACAGCCGTAACACAGCAACTGATTGCTTATGTTGACTAGTAACTGTTGCTATCATAACATTGTAACCATCGCAAGGCATTGACTGTGTTACTAGGGAAGTTCCTAACTTGGTTGACCAGACTAAACGCAGCATCTCAGCATTAGCCAATGGCACAATGGTAGTAACAAGCAGGTCGTTTTCCTCGTGGGAAAGCCGGTCTGTGACAATAGGTAGCCTGAAACACTACCCTAATACCTATTCCAACCTCTTAAATACACACGAGATTGTGTCAGGAACCTAGACAAAATGGAGGGCCCGTACGTCCACAACACTCCGTGTCTCTGTAACGGCTGTTAAGCCTAGGGGTTCCTGTAGCCCACGCTACCAAGCGCAGGCAATGAATGCAAGGGAATCTTCGGGAAGGATCTCGGAATACAAGGAGCTTAGAAGATTCACAATGAACCTTCTGAAAGCATACTGAAGGTTCATGAGGACAACAGGTGTATCAAGAATCTTCTGGGGTATTGTCGAGGAGTCCATGTTATTCTAGACATAGGGAGAACCTTACAGAAGAGGAGTATCTCAGAGTATATGTAATTGTATTCTAGCCACAGGAATTCTCTCTCTAGAGAATGTTAATTAATATACTGTACTTACAGGTTCGCCCAAGCATTTTGTACTGAAACCGTGACAGTCACCATTTCCAACAGGGATAGCTAAAACTATATACAGAGATTTAGAGTTAATAGCAAATTTGGATATTGTTGTGCTTAATATTTGCTAATAG